GATATATGATAGTGAAGATATCAGAAATTAAAGGGCAAAGATTCAATGTTAAATGTGTAAGGAAACACACTGAGACAGAAATACCAAAATAGCATGAGCTTGTTGCCACAAACCCTAAAATGGCAAGAAAACGTATAATGGCAAGATTCAAGTCCTTAACAAGTAATTGTTCACAATGACTGCTATACCAAATAATCTGGATCTTCTACTATAGATTATGGGGTTTTTATGAAGCAATATATCCCAGCATTTCTTTTTATTCTGAGCCTTTGAATGCCTTCATCGGCATTTAGGCAAAGAATGTCAGGTGTCTCCAGTTTATTCACAACAGGTCATCTTTGACCCACACATCAGCCAAGCAATGAGGTAAACTATTGTCACTTCTACAGTTGTGCTAGTTACAGCATAAAATATGGATTCCTTGCTCAATTTTCCTACATCACTCCTACACAGACTGATCTAAAATTACCTCCCTCCGATTCTTTTAAAATCCATTCCTGGTCACATTCACAGACTTCTACTTGTATTAATTAGAAATGCAAATTCTTTATGACTGCAATGATCCTCCTTATGGGCCATATCATCTCTAGGGAATGTTGAGCCTTCAGTATTATAGGTCTAGAGGTGAAGAGGGGGGTTGAGGGTGGACCCATTGGGGCATCAGTATTTTCTTACATAGAATCTCATTCAAGGCATGTCCTGAAGGATTTCAATTCCCTCAGGCAAAGGTAGGGAAGGCTGTGATGAGTGGAGAGAGCAGAGGATACATTTGCCACTAATGGTGAGAAAAGTGTTTCCTTACTAATAACAAACCCTTCAAAATCTGAGAATTCAATGACCTCATTAAATCATGGGACCACCAGGGTCTTCCCACATATCTCTGTCCCAAATTACAGGAGCCCATAGCCTACCAATCACTTTTACTGCTGAAACATTAGGAAGATGGTACTTTAACTTCTGTAGCAAGTTAGCCAATCCTATGACTAAGGTTTGGGTACAGGTTTTGGAACTTTGGATTATGACTACCATAGAGAAATATTTTGTTTCTCAGGATGTAATCAGAATCCTAGTAAACCATGTATGTGCAACTGGAGCAGAAGAATTTAATCACTAAACTGATTCCATTCCTTTGTTCCTTATCCAGATATGCTAGAAGTTATCAGACAGCATCATTACATTCTTTACTCTTCTAGAAACGTTCAGAAATTTCATAGAGAGTCATTAAATTCCTTTCTCTTCACGGGGAGTGAACCAAGAACATCAAATGAATTCATCTTAAATATATTTTTAAGTAAGTTACATCATAGATACAGTGCTCTCTGTATCACAGAAAAAACTTAGCTTTAGATAAATTAGAAACCCAGCTGTAAATACTATCCTTATTGGAGAAATCCAGCCTTATAATTCTGTTTCCATAGACCCACTCCTCATATGAGAATTGGTATTTTTTAGGTTTACGTAAGGGAAAAGAACCAAGAGAATGAACACATATGATGAAAAGGGATTTGTTATATTGTTTTACAGAGTAGTGCCTAGGTAGTCCAACAATACCCATCTCTTCAGTGGAGTGCCATAGGACTTGATATCTGCTCAGTCCACAAAACTTAAAGTCTCGGTACTCACAATCAGCCCTGAAGGCCTGAAGGATACTTGGGAGGCCACTGGTGTTTAGAACATGTTAGGTGTCCAAAAAAGATGGTTTCCAATATGGACAGCAGCAGCAGTGGCAGCAACAACAAGACAGATGCATACACTAGCAGGACATGAAGGCAGTGGCAAAGAAGTACAGCTCTTTCTTCAGATCTCTTTACATTTGGGATCCTGCCAGAAATCCTCTGCCCATGTCAGGCACAGGCCTTCTCCCTGTATTTAACCTGCCCTGGAAAGGCCTTCACAGACAACCCCAAAGGTGTGTCTCCTAGGTACTTCCAGATAGAATTAGTTGAAGATCAAGGTTATCAAATTTGGGACAATGTTCCTAGGTACCATCAGGTGGGAATATGAGGTAAGGGAGGCATGTCATCACTCTCATGAAGTGATGTTGTAGGTGCTGACAGTGCAGTCAAAGCATAGGCAGGAAAAAGCTAATAAGATCACAAGTATTTCACCAACCTGAAAAGCCAACAAAACTCTCATTATTTCCCAGAATCTTGAACATGCTCTATGTTGCCTTAAAAATCATCATGTTGATACCATTTTAGTTATCATTCTAGAACAATGTTATTTTTTTAAGTAATGAGGAACTGGAGACATGGTTTGGTGGTTAACAGCACTGCTGCTCTTGTAGAGGACCAGGGTTTGATTTCTAGCACCCATGTGGTGGCTGACGATCATCTGTAACTCCAGGGAAATCCAATGTCCTCTTATGACCTCTTCAGACCTTGCAGGACATGAGTGCAGTTACACATATGCAGAAAATACACTCATACACAAAGGAAATAAAAAAATGATTAAAAGAACTAATGATCTCACCTATGGAGGACATTTCACTGCTAGGCTTCATTCCTTGAATCTGATACTGTATATAAGGACTGGTGTAATATCTTGCCTGCCATCATCATGGGAAATCCATCCAGTGTCTCTGAGGACATCCAGTTGACCACATGGATAAGATACTATGTTTGAGATAGCTCAGTGGGGAAAAAATAGGATGAGGTCCCTGTATTAGGGTCTTTTATGAGATAAACTAGAATACATTGTTTAATATCTCCTATTGAAGAAAAATTCACAAAATTTCAATAGAGATACTCTAGGATCTGATGTCAATGAAAACAGCAGGTCTAAGAGGAGAACAGTCTGGCATATTAGCTCCTCCCATCAATTAACATACAGTGAGTTCCTTACACAAATGGTTGGGGGAAATTGTCACAGGGAGTCAGAAAACGTCACAGGAAACCCCCATAGAAAGAGCATATGATAAAATGGTAAGAAGACAAGAAAGGCATGAAACATCTTGAAAGACCTTTCTGCGTCATGTGCTGAGGGTCAAATAGCACTGGAGATGCTGAGATTAAAGGAAATACTTTAGGAAAGGGCAAATCAGAATACATGAGGTAAAAGATGGTGGCATCTTGGAACAAGAAAACAGCTCTAAAAGTGATGAGACATAATAGAATATCAAATATGTATCAAAAGTCAAATCAACAGCATTTCATGATTGTAAGGACATAGTCTGCAGTAGAGATCTAAGCTGATTCTGCAGGAGAACTGGTTTTATTGGCTTTGGATTGAGGCCTATTTAACCCATTTTGTGTGACAGGTAGGAAGCAATATTTAGATGAATGGATGCTGAGGAACTACCAAAATTGTTACTATGGTGTGTGGGTGTTCTCCATTCCTGTCTTAGATCTTCTCACTGAAATGGGGAACCGTACTATTCACTTTGATAATACCAGTAGATATTTAGGGATGTAGCTTTCTTTCAGTTAATTTAGCTTTCAGTTCCTACTTTGCGGTAAGTTTAGGTCATGATGCATAGTTATTACTCCACATTACAATAAAACCAATAAAACCATATAATTTATAAATGATTATTTACAGTATCCTGTCCCACTTTTTTTTAAGATTTAGATCAAGATTTGTTTCAGAAAGTAAATGTTGAAGAAAGTAAGGTATTCAGGCTGATGAGGTCTAAGGAACAGAGAAGAAATTTTTTGGAAATTTAAAGGTCAACCACAATTTTAGAATGAGTGGTCAGACAGATCTTGTCTATGTAGTTGAAGATGGATATGTTGTGCCTAATCCTGACAATACAAAATGGTTTTTTTAAATAAATAATTTACTTAGGAAATTGTAGATATGGAAAAAGGAATCAGAGTGATTTTTTGGACTTCATTCAGTCTGTTGACAATACAAAGAAAGGAAGAAAGCGCCATAAAATAGTTTGAAATATTTCTTCCAAGTCATTATAATATATTATAACATTGGCAAAATTTATTTTACATAGTTTAATAATGTAATTAATAAAATACTTCTCTAAAGAATGACAAGAGACATATGAGGGTTTCAATACAATATTTTCTAAAATGTACACCTGCAGCATTCAAACTGTGGGACCTCTGACTCCTAAAGTACTTATGGGTGTACATGAAAATACAGGTGTGTGTGTGTGTGTGTGTGTGTGTGTGTGTGTGTGTCTGCTTTTGTGTATTGGAAACCAGAGATCAACTTGGTGGCTGTAACTCATGATTCCATACACCTTGTTTTTGGAAAGACTGTGTGTCATGGGTCTGGAGTTTGCTGATTTGGCCAGGCTGGCAGGCCAGCAAGTCCTAGGAATCTGCCCATTGCTGCCTCACCCATTTTAGAATTACAATCACAAGACTGGATGCACAGCTTTTTACAGTGATTCTGGTAAAGAATCATCTTTAGATCCATACACTTTCACAGTCACACCTCAGCAACTGAACTTATCTCCCCAGCCATCCTTCCAGAAATATTTCTTTTATTAAAATTTACTTATTATTTTTTTAATTTTACATGTGTGTGTATTGTCTTCATGTGTTTAAGTACACTCATGTCATGCAATGCCCAAAGGGGGACAGAAGTAGGCATCAGAGGCCCTGGAACTGGAGTTACAGATAGTTGTTAGCCACCATGTGGGTGCTTGGAACTGAACTCCGGTCCTCTGCAAGGTCAGTCCTTTTAACCACCAAGCCATCTCTCCAGTTCCGAAATATTTCTAAAGTATAAGCTGTGATTACAAATCACACATTTAAGGACTGGGCACTGAAGTAGAGATGGAGCAAAAACAATGAGAATAGAAAATCAGGAAGTCCTTCCTTTTCTTTTCAAGTGGGAAAACGTCTAGAAATGAAAAAAGTGATGGGAAGCCAGGCAAATGAATCATTGGGAAAATATTCCAACAGATAGAAAAAGAAAAAACAATTCTATAAGGAGAAAAGCTCATGATGCTTAAATATGGGTATTTTAATGCATGTCTAGGGACTTCACTGGTTTCTTTAACATATTTGTTTTTTGGCACGTCAGTTATTGATCATTCAAGGTCCCTGTTTCATCCACAGCTTCCTCAGGGCATTTTTCACCTCTGCATTCCTCAAGGTATAGATCAAAGGATTTAGCATTGGTTCAACAATGATAGCAGACACAGCCATGGCCTTGTCTATGGGGTAAGTGACCACGGGCCTCATGTACAAGAAAATACACGGCACAAAGAACAACACAACCACTGTGAAGTGTGAGCTACATGTGGACAAGGCTTTGCGCCTACCTTCAGAACTGTGAGACTTCAGGGAGCAGAGGATGACTACATAAGAAGCCATGAGAACAAGGAAAATGGTCACACACATCACCCCACTGTTGAGAATAACCAAGAGACCCAGGATGTGGGTGTCCATGCAGGCCAGTTTCAACAATGGAAACAAGTCACACATAAAGTGGTCAATGGTATTGGGGCCACAGAAAGGTATTTGATACATGAAGAGAAGCTGAACTGTTGCATGTACGAAACCCCCCACCCAAGCCCCACCCACCATCAGGCAACACACCAGAGTATTCATAATGGTTGCATAGTGCAAAGGTTTACAGATGGCCACATAGCGATCATAGGCCATCACAATGAGAAGGATCATGCCAGCACCACCGAAGAGATGGTCACCAAAGAATTGCATCATGCAACCGTCCACAGAAATGGTAGTGTTCTCAGAGAAAGAGTCCACAATCAATTTAGGGGCAGTAACAGAAGAGTAAATTACATCTATGATTGACAGAGAAGCAAGAAAAAAATACATGGGTGACCTCAGACTCTGGCTTCTGGTTATAGTTACTACAATGAGTAGATTTTCCAGTACCGTGGCCGTGTATATGATCAAAAACAAAGCAGAAAATATTATTCTCAGCTCTGGATTCTTTGTAATTCCCAAAAGAATGAATTCAGTCACATTGCTTCCATTTCCCATTTGTTGTGAGCTGGTGAACGTGTACAACTCTGCTTTGGAGAATCTGCAAAAGGAACAGTTTTTCGTTAGTAAACACTGACTATGCTGGGCCTCTTTCTCACCCTGGAAGAAATCTTAGCATGTTTTTACTCTGCTTAAACCAAACGTTCAAAGTAAAAGTCTGATGGAAGCTTCAACCCTACTGATTCCACAACAGCATTGTATTTCATGGATGCAATTCTTACTTTCTATTGTGACACTCTATTTGGAAAACTTTGAAATCCTGCCCCCTCAATTAATTCATACATATTCCTATGAATATTATACAATTAGCACTGTTCAGGAAATAGTGTGGGTATGAGTCAATATTATATAATAACTTATTTAGCACAACCATGGTTTAATCTTTTGATCTTTTATATTTCATTCCACTGCATTACTTAACTCTGTTTTTCAAACATTCACATACATGCATGCACACACACACTCACCTACATATGTACACTCACACACACATATACTCACAGGAACATATACATTCACAGGTACATACTCATGAATACACACACACACACACACATCTACCTATGTACAAGGTGTACAAGACATTCCCTCTGTTCTTCTGCTTGTGAACTTTGTATATTTTGGGGGGAAGTTCTTTTTGAGACAGGGTCTCCCTATAGCCCCAGCTGGCCTGGAACTTGCTATGTAGACCAGGCTGGGCTTGATGTTTGTGAACTTTGAAGCTAGAAATTTGACCTTCATTCATCATTACTTCCACCCCAAAACCTGTGATTCTAAACAGATTAGCAAGGCCGAGGTGTATGCATTCACACCAAAGGACATTTTGGGATACAAACATGACTCGATAGCCCTCAATATATATAAGAATGTTCATGAAATCTGATAGGGGCACAATAAGTGGGGTAAATATATGGAGGGTATACAAATACAATAGAAATATGTTGTGTGAAATTCACAAAAATTCAATAAACCTTGGAAATTTTGAAAACTTTATATTTATGTTCCTTTAGTACACATGTGGTGGGAAGAGAGCTAGGAAATGTCATTTCTATGTACTGTCTACTGATCAGAGACAGTTATCATTTGCATCCAAACATCCACCTTCTGTATCTGGTTTATGTATTGATATTACGTATTCCTTATCCTCGGTGAATACTTGCTGTGACTCAGACAGTGGAAAATTATGTGAATGTAAACCATCATAGGTGGAAAGAATGAAACAAATTCTCCACAATTAGCAAACACTGAAGCCAAATTCAAATTCAGCTTTTCCTACTTCTGAAAATGTCAATCTACATTATTTCTCTTATATGCTCAATGTCAATGGTATATTATTTCTTTATATTTCATTTGCATAATCATTCAGCAATATAATTTTATGCTTTGAGTTTATACTTCAGTTAATGATTCTATAGTAAAATTCAGTGATAATCCAGAAGAAAGATTACTTCTAAAGCTCAGAAGTAGAACCATTTGTTAAGTGTACTCTAATCTGATCATTTCAAAGATACACTTATTTAAATAATTAAAGTTATTTCCCTGAGCCTAACAATTCGTATGTACAACTCAGATTACAAAATCCTTGCACATAAGCCTAAATCATGGGATGATAAAAATATTGTGTCATCAACAGATAATAATGTAAGTCTGTCATCCCTTCTCCACCATAACTTCAGTCTTAGCTTCCATTTTTCCTCATGAGTGGATGGTCCTGGATGAAACAAATGAGTCCAAATAATAATCCAAATGTCAGTGGAAAAAGCTGTTCCTTCTTTTGTGCTTATATATTCTATTAAGTTTGGAGATCTTTTGCATTCATTATTACATTTACCTTTCATATCACAGTGAGGGCTGTTACGTTATCCTATCAAGAAAATGAGGAAACAGAAGCCCAGAAACATCAAGCATCTCATCTGAGATGAATGGGAATTATGAATCAGGTAATCTCATAGCCCTAACTATTCTATTAAATCTGTGAAGAAATGAACAATGGCTTAGCTGTCTAAAATAGATGCTGAAGCCAAATGTTAGGATAGAAGAGCAGCCTCAGTAGGTAGCAAAGGTCTCTTTGCTACAGACACAAGGATACATTGTTATTCCCTTGTTTTAAACATATTGGAAGCCATATGTTTACTATTCTATATAGTTTTAAAAGGCTTCTGTCAGGAAATTCTTCCTAAATATACAACATACTTTAGCTCCAACCTCTTCTGTCCCCAGCACATGAACTTGAAAAGTTCTTAAATAATACTGACGATGTGGAGAGAACACATTCTTGAAAATCAGAATAATTTAATTCTATTAATTCATTCTAGCTTCTGGGATATATTGCTAAGCTGCTTTCTCTTCTGGTCCCTAATTAGTTATCACAAGTTGATGGAAGGTGAGGAACTTAAGAGAGCCATCTCCAGATGGCTTTAAAAGATGTCAGCTTTTACCTGAATTCAGTCTCAATGCTTCCACATAAGATTTTCTACAGGAAATCACAAAGAGTAAAACAATATATAAATTAGTTAATAATGGATAATAATCCTCTCTTCTTTCTTCAAATCTGTGAATCTATCCAAGTTATCTCTTCAGTATTAAGTCACATCACAAGAAACTTACCCTGACATTGAAATCAATTCACAATAATAATCAGTGTTCAATCTCTTGTGTGAGAAAAACCCAGGATCAGAATTCGCAGAATTAGTTCTCTGTAGAGAGAGGTTGCTTACTGACTGAAGGAACTTTAGCCCTCCAGAAAGAAAGCCCTGAAACAAATAAAAATCGATCAGAATCAGGGACAGATTAAAGACATGGTGTTAGGATGTGCACAGATTTCTCCTTTAATTCCTACAAAACTAGGATCAGTTGCTGGGCATGACAGAAAAAGTTCCTTAGCCAAAATGTGGGGAGTCTGTGGCATAAAAACAGAAAGATTGAAACCTAGACTTCATGGTGAGATCAATGTCTGTCTGAGATATATAGTGAATGTGTGTTTTCAGAAACAAAAATAAATATATGTAGATAAAAATTCTTACCGGGTACAATAAATGACGCTTGGAGAATCAAATAAGCTTGATCCAATTCCTTGGTGTATTTGTGATCGTGTTCATAGCACAAGATGCCCATTACTGTACTGTTCAATTCGTTCATAATGATATGTTCCACCTCAGTACATTTATGAAATTATAGCAAATAACAGATATGAGAATGTTTGCTGAACAAAATTCAGTTATCCATCAGGATTGTTTTTCATTATGGGAAGCTTCTCAACTTCAGGGTACCTCTACATACACCCTCTGTTGGAAAATCATTTGCCACAACTCTTTCTCTCTTACTTTCCTTGCTACAGCCTGTCACCCTAGGTATTAGGAAATGATCCATACAACTAGCAGATTTCCTATTAGTAATGCTTTAGTTATCATCTTTGTTCCTTTTTAGAATTCCATACTATTTTTATCTCCTACTTAAGGTTAAATAATTTATAATCTTTCCGTTAAACTGTTATTGCTGTGCCACATACAAACAAACACATCAAAAATGTTTAATTTAATTTAAAAATTCAGTTCTTTTAAGGAAAACTGTGATAAAACCATATGGACACACCGCTGGCCACACAGTGCTTTTGCCAGCTCTGGCTCCAAAAATGAAAGAGCCATCAGCAGCAGCACCCAGCTGTTTGTTCCCGGGCATTCTGCCTCAAATGTCTGACTAGTTACCACACTTCATCTTTACCATTTCTATTCTTGTCATGCTATAGGCAAACTCAGGCGGTGAAAACAATTGGCCTCTCAATTCAGGGTTCAACCACTGCAATCACAACCACGTTGTAATTACTTTTAGACAACTTTCCAAGATACATTAAAATCAAGCTACAAATTTCTGGTAGCTCAGGGCTCTTCATCATCAGGCCACAATTATATACCGAAATCAAATGGACATGTGAATTCCTGACACACTAAAAATAAAATTGTGTGACTGGAAATTCAACTCTTGCATAGGCTTTAAATACTACCTTAGATTAACCAAAAGATGTTTCATTATTGAGTAAATGTCAAGGCCACTCCAGTTTCAGCTTACTCCAATATTTGTGACCTGGAAAAGTGAGTTGCAAGATGATCCCAGTAATTTAGAAGCAAAGACTGGTCAGCAAATTGCCTAAGTGCATGTGAAGGTGACTGGAGTTCCAGCCCCGGCAGGGATATTCCTAGGAGTCAGAGCAAACAGACATCTACCCATTCCAGGGGAAGCTGTAGGCCTGGGAGCAAACTTCCTAATTATGTTGAAGAAAGATTCAATACAGGTGGTTCAAGGTGTCCCAGGACTTAAATACAAAACAAACCTAGTGTACAGAAATAAACTTACTTCTTCTGCATAAGAAAAGTTGCCCCAGTAGGCAGCCAGCAGAGCTGCTTATTCATGGCACTGTGCTTTCCATTTGGCTGATTTTGAACTTGCTTTATACAGTATTCAAGCCACATTTTAGAAGGAACACTTTTAGCATATTGTTCCTTGAGTAATGGACTTAGAGCAAAAGAGGTCAGAGTGCTATTTTCAAGTGGTATAGATTTCCATAAAATGAATGCTTACATCATTCCAACTGCATCTACATCTCTATCGACTGGGGATTTAGTCACTTTACCAGGAAATTCCCATGCCCCCTTACAATGATCAGAGTTTTCCCAGGGGCAGAGCTACTCTGGATCAAGGCCAAGCTGACACTACACATGAAAAACATTAAATTTCATTTTAAGGAAAAGAAAGAAAGAAAGAAAGAAAGAAAGAAAGAAAGAAAGAAAGAAAGAAAGAAAGGAAGGAAGGAAGGAAGGAAGGAAGGAAGGAAGGAAGGAGGAAGGAAGGAAGGAAGGAAGGAAGGAGGGAAGAAAGAATCCTAGATTATTGTATTACCAATTATTTCTAAACCTAGCTTTATTCTTTAATAAAATAATTTCCATAAACAGTGATTCATATGCCTGAAAAATATGTATAAACATAAATATAGGAAGAAATAT